GGAGGAATACCACAAGAAACAAAAGCAGGGCCACTGGAAATTTCAAATCGGAAAAAATTAAACTTTGATAAAGAGAATGGAGAAATTTAGGCAACAAAATATCATAAATTACAAATTAAGGCTTACTGTTTAAACGAACGTCACTCTAAGAATAAGAGGAAAGAAGGGGTTACAAGAGGTGTCAAGTCTGGTTGGGAATTTTTGAAAGTTTCTTTTCCCAGGATTTATCATTTCACAGAGTAAGGTTAGCACATGAACTAAGAAGTAAATCAACATTGATCGTTTTATGTAGTTTCTTTAAATACTCTCGGCTCTTTGTCTCAACAATGTCATTATGCTTGAAAAGTAAAATCCTTTTGGTAACTCACCATACTTCATACACTAACTGTGCAATGAGAGGTAATTCCTCCTCCAGTTCCTTAATCCTTGGTATCAGTTCATTATACCTAATTTACATACCTCTCTTGCTATATGGTAATACACCCTTTGATATACAGACAGTATCCGACTTATGATGGTTCAACTTAGGATTTTTCAACTTTACACTGGTGCAAAAGCCATATGCATTCAGTAGAAAGTGTACTTTTTTGAGTTTTGATCTTTTCCCAGGCTAGTGTTATGCTCTATGATGGTCTTTCGTGGTGCTGGGCAGGAGCAGCGAGCGCAGCTCCCCGTTGCCCCGCGGTCACGAGGGTGAACAACTGGTACACTGACATTCTGTACCCATCCAACCATTCTGTTTTCACTCTCAGTACAGTTTCAATCAGTTACATGAGAAAGTCAACACTTTGTTATAAAATAGGCTTTGTGATAGATGATTTTGCCCAAACTATAAGCTGATGTAAGAGTCTGAGCACGCTGAAGGTAAGATAGGTTATGCTAGGATGTTCGGTAGATGAGGGGGATTAAATGCATTTTCAATGTATGATATTCTCAACTTTGGATGGGTTTATTGTGACATAACCCAATTGTAAGTCAAGGGGCATCTGCAGTGATAAAAACTTCTGAGGTCAGTTGGCACTTGAGAGAAATCTTATGGCCAAATTTTAAAAAAGGAGGGAGATGAGGAGGAAGGAGTTTTGAACACTTGTTCTAAGGGTGAAGGAAAGCAGAAAGCAGAAAGCAACATTTATTACAATTTGGTGCTTAACCTGCCCATCCACATTTGCCCTCTCTGAGGGAATTTTGAGGAATAAATAGTTTATACTCAGTGCAGCCAGCTCTGCAGTTCAGCCTTATTTACTTTCATATCCAATATGAACTATTTCCCTGAACCCAGAAATGATTCCCCATAAGACCCATACGTGACCGTAATTTGCTCCCACTTAAAACTGCATTGAATTCAGTGCTTCAGAGTAACGCGAGGTGAGTTGCACACTTGCGTCTCATTTAACATGATTCAGAAGCATTGCTTTGTGAGGATGGCTTACTTGTGGAAGCGGTGAGGTAGAAAAAAGCACAAAAATTGTGTTTTTCAGAATGATTTGGGGACACGCCAGTGGGAGAGAAGAAAACTGCGGATGGTGTCCCTGGCTAGTGACCTTCTTCCGAATCCATCTCAACTGTGCTGAAACCCGAGCACAGCTGGGGTCCAGGCAGGGCCCCCAAACCTGGGTGTGTGGGGGAAAGATGGGGCTCTCAGGGACAGTGGCCGGAGAGGTTGACAATTTGAAGCTGTGGATGTCTCAGTTTGGCCTCCATCCGGGGTCTCAATACTAGGGTGGCAGAAAGATCAGGGGTGAAATTTAGGAAATGCTGACTTTATATATTTGGTTTTCTTGTTAGGAAATTTTGATTTATTCAACATTATAACATTACGTCCAAAAATACAAACTACATTCATGATTGGCAACACTTAGAAAACTTAATATTCCCTTAAAATACCAGAGACTCCTTATCCTTTACTGTTGGAGATAGAAATTTCCCTCAAGAAATGCCTCAAGTCATAAGGGCCTAGTCACAGTTTTCTCTCAAAAGAAGCAACAAACCGATTAATACCTCAGACCACTGTGAGGCGGGCTTGGCTGTTGTTGTGTTAATACAGACACCCTTTCTTGAAATACAAGACGTGGTCTCAGTTTTAGTGAGTTGCATGTTCATAACTTGATTTTCTCTTGTTTTAAGGGAAAAAACCATTCAACTTCGCTTCTTTTCTTATCGTCTTGCGCAGTCTTGCTATGAAATGGCAGCCTTGGGCTTCAGGTGGACACATGCTAAGGGAAGGCTGATCTGTGTGCACTGATGTCCATATGATTTATGGTGGTATTCTCTTTCATCCAAGATTTCAAAGGACTTTGTAAATGTTTCAATTAAGTTTTGTAGCAATCCTCTTAAAAAGATAAGTAGGAAAAAGTCTAAGCCTTCTTAGATGTAAGCTCCTTGAAGGCACAGACAATTTTCAGTATATAAGTAACTCAAACTCTCTAGATAGAGTATTATCTTTGACATTTAATGAATATTTACCATCTGTTTTTTGTGTGTGTGTGTGAGGAAGATCAGCCCTGAGCTAACATCTGCCAATCCGCCTCTTTATGCTGAGGAAGATTGGCCCTGGGCTAACATCCATGCCCGTCTTCCTCCACTTTATATGGGACGCCGCCACAGCATGGCCTGACAAGCGGTGCGTCCGTGCACGCCCGGGATCTGAACCCGCGAACCCCGGGCCGCCGCAGCGGAGCGCGCGCACTTAACCACTTGTGCCACTGGGCCGGCCCCCACCATCCATTTTAAAGGTAAAACGTACAGTTGTTCTTCCTATTTCATCCTTCTTTTTCCTGTGTCATCAAACTAAAAAAAACTATTCTCATCGTTCCTCTGTATTGTTAGTTCTATACTACTAAGAAAATAGAAATCTTATAAACTAATGAAACCTACAAGTTCAATAATATACTGCCATTGCCAAGGATATCTATATGTTGAAAGAGAGGTCATGTTTTAACTTACTTAGGATAAATGATCTAATTATGGAAGGTGCTTAGGATGGACTTCACCTGTCACATATGTAAGTGTTCAATTGTAATTATTATGATAGTAGTAGTAATATAAAAACTGATTTATATAAATATGTTTCCAGTTTTATAGTTTTGTGCAATCTGGCAGATTCATTGGGGGTGTATTTGGTGGCCAGGAATGTCTTCTGGCAGCATATAAACCATACCATGTGATCTAGAAGAGATGGAAAGAGGATTGATCTTACTTTAAATGAAGTCGGTCTACAGGCAGTAGATAGTCTATTGCTGTCCTTGTCCTCAAGGTAAGGTAACAAGGTAAGCAACACGCATGGGAGCCAGGACAAGGGAAAATTCAGCCAAAATAGATGATGTGCTCATGTGCTTAAAATCAACATTGGTTGAAAACTGATTCAAGTTACCAGATCAGGTAAAAGCTATAATCAAACAATATTTTAGTGATGTTAAGGTACCCACGGTATCTGATCATTTGCCCCCCTTTTCTCATCTGTAAAATGAAGATAGTAATAGCACCAACTTCATCTTGTTATTGTGAAAATTAAATGAAGGAATTAATGAATAGATCTGATATGGTTGGTAAGATGGTTTCCTAAGTTCAAGGTTGGGACATATGGCTGGACAAAGGAATTTTTTCTGCTTGTGTCTCTATCTGTCTATATATCTAGTTTGCACTCTGAACTATTAGCATTTTTGAGGCATTTTCATGGTTAAGGGAAAGGAATATTGAATATTTGAAATAGGTGTACAAATGCTATGCTATGTTCATTGTTCATGTGCTTTCAGTAAAATGTTCATTTTCCGATGGATCTGTTACTATGTAGCCACCGTCTTAACAAAATAAAAATATATAATAACTGCAACAGAGTTGCACATGTGCTCTTATACTTATACTAGTGTTTATGTTTATGTTTATGTTTAAACACTAGTATAAGAAAATAAGAATGATCAGAAAGCTAGGAAAATAAAGTATCTGTTTTTGTTTTTGTTTTTAAGTCATGAGCAATCTTTGATTATTTATGTGATTATCTTGGATTACAAATTACCAAGACCTTCCTTTGCCTCTACTTATCTTGCTGTCTGCTTTCACATCACCTCACCAATAACCCAGGCTGCCAACATATGAGGTAGCCAGAGAAAAGGAACAAGCTAAAACAAATCATTTTGTTCTTTGCTTATGAGTATGGTTCAAAGTTGGCATAGACAAGGGTGAAATTTTGGTGAAAGTCAAATTCAAGGATTATTTTTATTTATCCATCCTACTGTTTTGTTCTATGATTATAACTAATTGAAAGTTCATTGCACGTAGCTTAATGGCTTAAGTAAGATCTAAACACTGGACATAAAATTTTACAGTTTAGAAACTTTCATTTCGTGATTTGGACCATTTCTCACTTCAAGGTTAAGTGCATCACTTATAGTCTCTGTACTAGTTTTCTAACCTATAAAATGAGAAAAATAACATCAACTTCGTTTCTTAACAGAATATTATATATCAAAGAGTTTGTGAAAGGCACTGGTGATATATTGCCCCATAAGAACAACTGATTATTCATTACAAGGTTGCAATTTTATTACAAATGCTGTGTGGGTAGTTGTTGTGCAGCCTTCAGATGAGTTCAAATGTATGTTTCTCCCAGGCATTGTGAGTAAGGGCTCGGTGCTGTGATGTGAATTATTAATAGCTTACTTACCTAGCTTATCATTTCTAGTTTAGAAATTACAATATGATTCTTAGTTTCTTATCACAGTTGCATGAATACAAAGCACCTAATTCTGTGCTATGCAGATGATCCCAGAAAAATTTTGAAAGACTCAGAAGCACGGTTCCTGACTATTGACAGTTATCTAAAATCAAAACCCGTTTTCATCATCAAGTGTTCCACATATAAATGTGTTATAGCTGCCTGTAAACCTGCAAAGGAGCCTACAAGCCTCTGCGATATAGAACAAGAGACAGCAATGCAACGGAACCACGGTAAGTCCACACAACACCAAAACGCTTCAAATATCTAAAAGGAGAAGCTTGCTTACCTAGCATGCAAACACATTTGACATTCTGATCAGGGTTTTCAAACAAGATTTCGCCACACCTCTGAAAGAGAAAGAAAGCCATAGTTATTTTAAGATTTCACATCAGGATTCCCAAGGCGACACATCCAGGCAACCTGACATCATGATCTCATTTTTCTCCCTTCAAGTTTTCCTTGGTTACCTGAGTCTAGGGACCGATGTCATGAACAGCGACTTTCCTAGTGGTTCATATTTGAGAGGTGAGTTGGGATAGATGGTCCTGCATGCCTCATGGCCCTGCCTGGAGCTGATTCTGCACCCTCCTGTGAGGAGTCACCGCCAGAGAGGCACCCAGAGTCTAACGGGTTCTATTTCGGTAGACGATATGCAGTCTATTAGACCTAATAATTGGAGATTAATCTCTCTCAAAACTGATCCTTCTACAGCCCTTGGATTATTCTAAACTACCCACTCTGCAATCAAGCACAGACATTACCAAGCACAAAACTAGGTGGCTGATACTTAACTCTCTGAACTTCGGGGCAAAACAAATAAGAAATCATGAAAAAGTGGCACTCAGAATGCTTTCCTGGAACCCACAGACTCATGGAAATATCAACTTTCTTCTCTATATCTCAGTTTTAACTTGCTTGTTGGAAGTTGTGTGCAAAGCAAACTCTAGAGATATAATCAGTTATTTAAGAGTAGATCACATTCATGTATACGATTGACAAATGGTTAGTACGTGGATATACAAAGGAATCCTCCAAATCAATAAGAAAATAACAAATAATCCAGTTGAAAAACGGATAAAGGACATGAACAAGCTGTTCATGGAAGAGGAAATCTGAATGGTCAATAAACAGAGAGAATAAATTCAACCATCTTAATAATCAGGAACTAGCGAATTAAAGATAAAATGAGCCCTTTTTGAACTCATTGGTGTGGCAAAACTCATAAGTCTGGCAAGAAAAAGTGTCACCAAGAATGTAGAGGAATGGGTACTCTCACACACTGTGGGTTGGAGTATAAAATGATAGAACCATTTTGGAGAAAAACTGACAAAATCTCACTAGATTTCTACTTGCTACTTAGTAGATTTCAACCTTACTAAGTTGAAACATGCATATCCTGTGACATAGCAAGTCACCTTCTAGACTGTAACTAGAGAAATTTTCACAAGCAACTTCAATGTCCAGCTACAAGACAGATAAATTATGTGTTATTCTCACATTGGAATATTATATGGTGGTTAAAATGAATGAATTAGCATCACATATATTGTAAAAACATATTATATATATAATACGCACATATGAATGTATAATATTCAAATGATATAAAATGTAGAATGTTCATATCATATAAAATATAATTTTCAAATCATATAAAATATAGAATGTTTAAATCCTATAAAAGTACAATGTTAAGCAAAAAAACTATCTCCATTTTATGAAGTTGAAAATATATAAAAATAGTACATACTGTTTATGGATTACATTAATTTACAGAAAAAGCATAAAAACAGGCAATGAGTAATTAACTTCAAATTCAGGGAGGGGAAGATATACAGAGTGATGAAATTGTGTGGGGAATACAGGCATTATTGACTCTTTCCGTAATGATTTGTTACTTAACTTCAGCTCTAAACTGTTTTCTATGCTTGAAACATTTTATAATAAGAAACAATTGCGCCCATGCACACCATCTGAATAGATAAATGGCCCTCTGCATGCTGCTTCTCTGCACCTAGCTCCCTTGGGCTTAGGGAGGCCATTAAGCATCAGACTGGACTGCCTTCCCCAAAACCTTGTTTTCACCACTTATTTCTTGTCCTTAGGAAGCCTGACCATGTGCTACATTTGCCCATTTTTGTCTTTCTTTCACTGTTCGCTACTTGGTTAATTCCACTCCTGTCTATCTTTATTGTACTTACACTCAATATATTATAAGACAAGATAACTTCTGGGGAAAAAATTTCCTGGATGTGAGAATTTGCGTTCTTCACACCTAACGATGAAACCCTCTGGTACAAAGAGGGGCAGGTCGAGAGGGGAAAGGATGACTTGATTACATTCAAATCAACCCATTTTCTGGGATGCTCTACATTGCGCACAAAGAGATGGACACTTGGCTCAGGGGCAAGGAAAGGAAGCAAGCTGCTTTGGTGAGTCAAGAGACTGGACCTGAGGTGGGAGGTTGGGTGTGTCCGAAGGTTGCAAGAGGGCGTTGAACACTCAATGGAGAGTCTGTATCATGAGCTTTTCTCTTGGGTACTCCGCTGACCTAATATCATGTGATATTTATTATGCTATTTAATCTCTTCATGCTTCATTTCTTTGTATGCAACACGGGATGCTAACATATGTCACAAAGTCAGATCAGAGAGCAAACGGGAGGGTTAACGACCCATGGAGTCTGACTCGACTGTCTGTTCCTGTTTTGTTTGTGTTTTGGTTGAGGTTAAACCCTTTCAAATTGTTGGGTCCATTCCCTGCTTTTTCAAGTGGTATTTTTTTATGACCTGAAAGAGTTAATAATTATTTTTAAATTAAAGATCAGAGGTTTCTGAAGTGTTTTCAACTTCTTGGCAAAACAAAGTGCAAGGAAGCTCTATCAATCCGTATTCCGGGTCCTACAAGGAAGTGAGTCTGGAGCCCTGCCTCACACATGTGCCAGGACGAGACAGCTTCCTTCTTCCTCTGCAAGGGTTGGCAGCAGATGGTGGGTGGATGTTGCATAACTTCCCAGGGCTACCCAAGCCCAAGGGCAGCCTTATATATGCCCCTCAAGACACAGATGGCTCTGGGAGGGGGTGATGCTGTGGGGGTCTTGCTCTCTTTCCTGGACAAGAGCAAATCCAGGAGACATTTCTGAAACCCCCGTGAAACACGCATACGTTAACAGTCGGGCCCGCCTGGGTTCACTGACCACATAAGCTAGTGACCGAGCAGTAACGGTGGGCACCGTGGCCCTTCCAATGACGACCAAGCAGTGCTCCTCCTCGTCTTCACCTCCCTGGCCATCTGGGAAATGGCTGAGGCACCTCTCACTAGTTCTTTAATTGCTCTGCTTTGTAAAGTTACCTGATGATGGTACCAGATTTTAAAGCAATGCCCAGGAGGGAATCTGATTGTTCTCGGGACTTGAAAGAACTCATTGCCAGTGTTTACAGGGCCTTTGCTGCCAGGCTGCCTGCTGTGCAACCCAGGGCGATGACCCAGTTTAGGGGATTAATTGGGCGAAGTCATAAGCTCCGAGTCTCAGAAAACCGCAGGATATGCCATGGGGGAAGGTCTGGGGCCCTGTTGCATTTGCGGGTGCTGTAGCCCTCCTCCCTTGCTGCTCTACCTGGTCATGGATGCTGGGACTCCCCATCCCGATACCCTGCTGCTGGATGACCCTGACTTTGATCCAGTTCTGATCACCAGGTTCTGCCTAACTCTCAAAATTCCATCTCTCCCTAGGATCTCCATATTTGTTTTGTCTTCTGTGCCTGAAATACTGAGACCAACTTGCCTTGTTTGTGCCCATCTCTCCCAGCCAACACCACCCCCAAATAATAGGGCATAGTTATCGAAATCTCCGTCCAAGGGGCTGGGGCCCTGCTAGCCACAGAGAGATCCTGCTGGCACATGCTCTCCTCCCGTGGCGCGTAGGCTACGCTGCCACACATGAACGCATGTGTGTAATGCCTGTTGCCCTCAGAGACCATGAAGAACCAAACCATTTTCGTTGTTAGTGTTCCTAACATGCCTCATGATTTTCACCCTGGTGCCTTATACATACCAGGCCCTTAGTAAAGATTTGTGGACTAGCTAACATTGATTTAGCCGATATTACGTGCTAAGCCTTGTTCTAAGTGCTGTACATCTACCATCTCATATACTCTCATCATAGTCTTTGGTGAGAGTAGAAATTGAGGCTCAGAGAGTATCACTCACTATAGAATACTCCCCTCCAATGAGTGAGAGAATGAAGGCCCATAGCTTACCTGATGCTTGACCAGTATATGTAGATTCCCAAATACTGGCTACTGTTGGCCTCCTCATGGCCTTGGCCGAGTAGACCAAGTCTATTTACATCCCCTTCTCTCACTCATTAGCCACTCGCTATTTGTGAGAGTTGCCACCTATTAGAGCGTAGGCTTTGCATTAGACCAGTTCAAGTTCAAATCCTATTACCGATTCTGCTGACCTACTATGCTGTCACGGGCAGTTTATTTGGTTTTGCCAAACTTGCTTTCTCATTTGTAAACAAGGTAATGTTATCCACAGCATAGTATCATTGCAAATTTAGTTTTTAATTTATTATGAACAAGGATGTACTGATTCAAATTACTGTAGATGAGATTGTAATACAAAAATATGAATTAATAAATCTAACTCATTCATTAAAATTCTACTTTAATTCTCATATTATTATTTAGGATTAAAAATGAAGAAATATTTTAATTTTAAAAGTCAGAATATTTCACAATTTGGTTGCTAATTCTTATTTATTAAGAGTTTTCTATATCAAATCTAAAATTTGTCTTTTAGTCAGGAAGAACAAGATGGATGTTATAAAATACCACATCTATTTTAGTAGTATTAATTAAAAATATTTAATTTCCATTAGCTAAATTGTATGTTCCAGCAAAATGTGCAATAAAATATATTTCCCTTAAGTGAACTGTATTTTTTTATTACTTTTATCATAAAATTAGTTGTGAAAAATTGATATTTAGGTATAATTTAAAAAATCACACAAAAGTATTCAGCAAATTTATTTTTCTTAATGGAAAATTAAATCTGAAATGACAATAATATTCAAATATTAGTAATAGTACCTGTTATACTCAAAAGAAGTAAAAAACACAAAAGACTGAAAAGTCACACATTGGTTGGCTGGCGGCATTTCTAGCTTTCTTAAACCAGTTAATGTTTTTCCTACTTCAAATAAGCTTTTGCACTCTTTTTATTTTTCCAAATATTTGCTGTCACTTGAATGTATTAGTTTCTCAGCAGGTCTCCAGCAACTAATCTTTTAGGGCAAGTGTCTTGATATCTTTGAATGGGAGAAAACATGAGCAAACAAGAC